GTCCAGGGCTGTGTAACTGTATAACACCTGTGGAGGTCCAGGGCTGTGTAACTGTATAACACCTGTGGAGGTCCAGGGCTGTGTTCCTGTATAACACCTGTGGAGGTCCAGGGCTGTGTAACTGTATAACACCTGTGGAGGTCCAGGGCTGTGTAACTGTATAACACCTGTGGAGGTCCAGGGCTGTGTTCCTGTATAACTCCTGTGGAGGTCCAGGGCTGTGTACCTGTATAACACCTGTGGATGTCCAGGGCTGTGTACCTGTATAACACCTGTGGATGTCCAGGGCTGTGTACCTGTATAACACCTGTGGAGGTGCAGGGCTGTGTACCTGTATAACACCTGTGGAGGTCCATGGCTGTGTACCTGTATAACACCTGTGGAGGTCCAGGACTGTACCTGTATAACACCTGTGGAGGTCCAGGGCTGGGTACCTGTATAACACCTGTGGAGGTCCAGGGCTGTGTAACTGTATAACACCTGTGGAGGTCCAGGGCTGTGTAACTGTATAACACCTGTGGAGGTCCAGGGCTGTGTTCCTGTATAACACCTGTGGAGGTCCAGGGCTGTGTGCCTGTATAACACCTGTGGAGGTCCAGGGCTGTGTAACTGTATAACACCTGTGGAGGTCCAGGGCTGTGTGCCTGTATAACACCTGTGGAGGTCCAGGGCTGTGTACCTGTATAACACCTGTGGAAGTCCAGGGCTGTGTACCTGTATAACACCTGTGGTGGTCCAGGGCTGTGTACCTGTATAACACCTGTGGAAGTCCAGGGCTGTGTACCTGTATAACACCTGTGGAGGTCCAGGGCTTGTCATTAGGAAGGAGTTGTATTTCTAAGTATGATTTATAAGAGTGGATGATGAACAAGTGCAAAATTTTGAATGTGATTTAATTTTAAATGTTTATTTTATAAGAATGAAATTACACAAACTCTCAACACTACTGTGAGATTCTACCACTTGGCACTATGTAACTTTTTGCCTGTGTTTCACTGCTAACTATGTAAAACCTGATGAAATATTGCATTTGACATACTACTGTGTAATTAGTGAAGGTAAATGTGAATCCAACAGGTGTGTCTACCTCGTACCACAGTGACACACACCTTTGTAATTAGTGAAGGTAAATGTGAAGCCAACAGGTGTGTCTACCTCGTATCACAGTGACACACACCTTTGTAATTAGTGAAGGTAAATGTGAAGCCAACAGGTGTGTCTTCCTCGTACCACATGGGATGATCAGGTGATTTGTTATTGTGTGTGATCGTATGATTGTGGTAAGTCAGCCGACTCATCAGGTTTAAACCCATTATGTCCAAACATGTCATTTACTGGTAGTGTTGACAAGTTGTGTGCTTCCAGCCACAAAATAAAGGTTTTTACTCTTTGTTTTCAATGGGAAATGTCATATCTCATTTCAACCTTTTAACCTGTCGGGAGTATTAGATAAATTTCGATCAAAAATCATGAGAAATGTTTTCTATTTATCAATTCTTAAATTATATAAAATTCAGTTATTTTTTTTCTTTGTTTTACAATAAATACAGGCTGCTTTCCTTGACAAAAAGTTTTTTATTTTCACAAAATGATATTTTTTAGTGATTATCTTTCCAATCTGCATAAAAAATAAACTGAATTCATGTAGGAACAGTCTGTCGAAAAATTCAGATGAAAAACACAAAATTAACGCAGTGTTATATTAATACACACAGATACACAAATTTTACTCTATGTAGCTATATAATATACTAGCCTAGGAGTAGCTATATATATACAGCCTAGGAGTAGCTATATACTAGCCTAGGAGTAGCTATATATACAGCCTAGAGTAGCTATATATATAGCCTAGGAGTAGCTATATATACAGCCTAGGAGTAGCTATATATACAGCCTAGGAATAGGACTGTATGTTATAATAAGATATATGGAATTAATTTAAGATTGAAAATACAATGAAGATTCATGTTCCCCTGACTAGGTGAAACTTTGAAAGTACCGTAATAAAGGTGAAGTATTAGCGGTATCATGTACGCTCTACCCAGGTCATCTACCAAGTTACAGTTAGGAAAGTATTAGTGGTATCATCTACCTAATTTCAGTTAGGAAAGTATAAGTGGTATCATTTACCAAGTTACAGTTAGGAAAGTATTAGTGGTATCATCTACCAAGTTACAGTTAGGAAAGTAT